TTCAGAGCACTGAAATTGTGACCAAAAAAAGTGAGCACCAACTTTTACTATTCAAAGAAGAACGTATGGTAGGAGAGTTAAATGGACAGCTAAATTTACAATAGTTTGTTTCCATGAATTCATGGAAGGCCTGGGTTTTATTCTAACGACGGACCGGCCAATGAGACGTCTGTCCTTAAAAGCATATGCAGTGGGCTCTATTTGATGCAATCCCACATATAGACTTCAAAGCATAATCAGATATTCTGTTGACTGTTTCCTCTAGGACTACCCTGTGGTGAAAAAAAGGACTTTTAGCTGCCTCCTGAGCCAGAACTGAGTGTGCATTGAAAAGGATGTTACATGACTAAAGGAAGTCCTCTCCCCTGCTAGCTCCTGAGGTAAGGACTGCTGTTGTAAGCCTCTGGGTGGTAAAGATGTTATAGCAGTGGCGGAGGCAGCAGCTTCCTGCAGCTAGCTGCCGCCTCACTCCCCGCTTAGATCCTTATGGGGCCAGGAGCAAGGCAGTTCTTTTTCTTTGCCTTCTTTTCACTTGTTTTTTCATGCTCTTAGGTGAATGAGTATTGGAAACAAAACGAACTAGGTTATGACATTGTGAGACCTTAGAAGTCCCTGCCAATGGTTCAAACAATCACATCTACTGGTTTTTTCAACACTCAAGGATATGGCTTATTTGTACCTCATGATGTGAACACATCAAGTACCACTTAATGTTCCCTTACTATTCCCTCTCCTTAAGTACCCATTCACTACCAGCTATTTCCATCTTGAGCTTTCTAGTCCAAAAATGATCCCCCTGGAAGAAAACAGATGTATAATAAAAACTAGGCAGCTTTGCCTTCTCTCCAGTATGTAATCATTGTCACATCAACTCCCAAGCAGTGGTCTTACCTTAAAAAACTTTTCCCAAACCTCCAAGCAATGTTTTTGCTGCCTTTAGATTTCCTCACTATGCATACTTTTTTCTGAGCTTTCACACTCCTAAAATTTTTATAGGACTGCATCATGCTTTTGTATTCACCTTCTATTACCTGTCCTTGCTTACATCTTCTGTAGGTGGCTTCTTCATATCAGTTTGGCTGATCAGTTCCTTATGCATCTGCATTGCATAATGTTTAGACTATTTTTCCTCTATGTTCCCCATCAGAATCACTACACAAATTTTTTTTGGAGTAAGAAATGGATGTTGACCTCTGAAAGGTTACTGAGAAAGGCCAAGTTGGCTAGCTAAGAGAAGAACAGGATAGAGCAATATCATAGAAGCTGAGGTAGGAGGGATTCTCCAGGAGCACAAGATGGTCAATAATGTTGAAAGCTGGGGGAAAAGTCAAGGAGAATGAGGACTAAGAGGGGAAAAATCAGATTTAGCCATTAGGAGGTCCCCAAAATGGAAAGAATATTGAAGCACGTTGATCTTGGACAAAAGGGAGCTCTTCAATAGTAGAGCAGGAATCCCAAAGGGTATAGCAAAAGGGAGTGTGGCAGGGGAGAATTGAAACCAGAGAGAAGCAGGACTGAACTGGATAGGTATGCTAATTCAGGGAGGGGGAGGCACAAAGCTAGCTGAACACTAGACCATGAGTAGTGTTAGTTAACTAGGTTTTTGGTATGTGAGAACCTATCAGGTTTCCTATCAGGTGATAGGAAAGGTAGGCTAGAGAAATACAGTTGAAGGCCTTGCATCTCATGAGCATTCCATGGGTATAAGCTATTGGACATGGTTGGTACTTTTCTGTGTAGCAGTTATGGGATGAATTATATGCTCAGAGCTTTGCATCAGAAATAGGAATCTTCTTGTCTCCAAATCAAGGACTTTCCACAACTCCATGTTGCCACATACGGCACCTCATAACCAGAAGGAGGTGAATTTTTATGACTACAGAAACAACAAAAAATCCATTTAGTCATCTTGCAATCTTTGCAATCTTTATTGGTGAAGGAATTTCCCACAATGATGAAATTACGGCTCTTTAAATGATTGAAGTACGGGTTCACGGCATGAGGTTAAGTACTAGAGGATAGAAAAGAATGAAATACGATCCCTGCCCTCAAGAACCTTACAATCTCCCAGTCCCTCTGGATGAAACTGTGGCACCTATGTGCTTCTGTGTATGTTGCCTCCCCGACTAGAATGTTAGTTCCTTGAGAACAAGAACTTGCTTTTCAATTTGTATACCCAGTGCGTTACTTTGTTCAGTCATTCAATCATGTCCAACTCTTCATGACTCCATCCACCATAGCATGCCAGACCCTTCAATCCTCCACTATTTCCCAAGTCTGTCCAAGTTCATGCTCATTGTTTCCACGTTACTCTCTACTCATCTCATCCTCTTCCACCCCCTTCTCTTTTTGCCTTTAATCTTTCCCAACATCAGGGTCTTTTCTAATGATTCCAGTCTCTCATTATGTGGCCAAAGTCTTTAAGCTTTAGCTTCAGTATTTGACCTTCCAGTGAATGGTTTGAATTCATTTCTTTAAGTATCGATTGATTTGATCTCCTTGTTGTCCAAGGGACTCTCAAAAGTCTTCTCCAGCACCACAATTCAAAACATCAGTTCTTCACCACTCAGCTTTCATTATAGTCATTAGAGTCCGATTCTCGTAGATGTATACTGCTATTGGAAAAACCATACCTTTGACTATACAGACCTTTGTCAGCAAAGTGATGGCTGCTTTTTAGTATGCTGTCCAGATTTGCCAAAGCTTTCCTTCCGAGGAGCAAGTGTCTTAATTTCATGGCTACAGTCACTGTCTGCAGTGATCTTTGAGCCCAAGAATATGAAATCTGACACTTTGCACATAGTAAGCACTTAATAAATGCAGGAAGGACAGTCCAAACCCCATCTCTCCCAATCCAGGGAAGCCTGCCTCCAGACCAGATAAAGTGGTACAGCAATGAGGGAAAAAAAAACATGGAATAAGTCACTTTCAGGAAGAATCCCAGAGTAGATAGATGTTCCAGAAGCAGATGAGGCAGGAGGGGAAAAAAATTCCCCAACCTTTTACTACAGAAAAAAGGATTGGCCTTTTCTCAAGCAAATAAGAAATACCTCATCTTTGGTGACAAGGCTTTTAAAAATCCTGCAAACACTGGTATGCTCATGAATCTTGAGCCTTGTCTCTGTGTTACCAATACCTTTCCCAAAGCAAAGGGAACTCAAAAGATCCTCGAGTTATCTGGTGAAAAATGACTCCAAATCAGCACCAATGTTTACAGCTGCTGCTTATCAGTACACAACCTTTAACTAGCCTAAGAGGAGAAAAAAAAAAAAAGCTCCAGTCCCTCTAGAACTAATCAGGGTGGCAACTAGAATCAGAATCTCGAGAATAGATCTCACTGCAGCATTACTGCCTTTTTAAGATCCCAACTAAAAGTGATTCTGCCTCCCCTCATAGGAATCCAATGGGAATGCCCCTTCCCCCCAATCTTCAGAGGCAGCCCATTCCACTTTGGGAATGACTGATTTTAAGAGCTGTTCATCGGGTCATGATCTAAAGGACTTTGACTATAGTGTGTGTTTCATCTTTGAGATCCTGTATTTTTGGTCCCTAAGTTTTTTCTCCACTTGCCACAGGTGGTGATAGTACCTATAGAAAAAAGTATCTATATACTATTTATATACTTCCCCCAATGTTGCTTGGGGTCAGCCTCCAGAGCACAGGCCATAGGCCAAGGACAAGACAACAGCCAAAAATCTATAGTAACCAAGTCATGGGGGTAGGTGGGGGAAAGAGTGGGCCATTATGACTTTGATCAATTAGCCTGGTGATCCAGGAGGGAGGGAGGGGAGGAAAGAGGCTGCAGTGGGTTTATTTCTTTGTTCAGTGAGCCCAGCAATGTGAAGAGGAGGACAGGGGTGGCAGCAATGGTGCCAAAGGCTCAGGCCTAGTAAGCTCTGTCTCTTTTTCCCTTCTATCTCCTGCCCCACACCCAAGCACCCGATGGGGTGGATTCCAAGGCCAATAGTGCTGCTGCTACTGGCCAGATCAGGCCAACCCAGAGGGCTTCTCCATATCCCCCAGTCCTCCAAGCCCTGCCTGATTGGTGTCTAGAAGTCATCATCCTAAAACCAAAAAAGAAACCAAATGGACTCTTGGAAATTTAAAAACAAAGTCAGTAATGGGCAGAGAAAGGATGCAGTCTGCAGTCACCAGAAGCAGCCTTAGGAAAACCATTTAAAAGAGTTCATAGTTTCACAGTTTAGGGAAAGGCCTCCACCCTATGCCAGGTGCTGGAGCCCCCGGCTGCCTTAGCTTTCTGACCCATTGGCTCCAAGTCAGATCTTGTCAGACTAGGAAAGCACAGAGCCTGGATGGCTAGGGCTGGAAGGGACGGTGGGACACCTGGTCCAATCCCTCGTTGTTCAGGGAAAGGAAAAAGTTTGGAAGGGAATTATTGAAGTTGAGGGTAAAAAGACCCAGGAAGGGTAGGGCCTCAAAAGAATTCGGCCACTGGAACCTTCTTTCAGTCAGAGGAGTGAGGTTTTACTATAAACCCAGTTAGGGGGGCGAGATTCCTAAGGAATCTGAAATTTAATGGGGGGGTAAAACTGGTACCTTTATACAAAGAAATATTGAGAAAAATCTGGATGGATCAAGGAGTGGTGGTGGGTCCGGAGGTAATTCAGAAAGGGGCCTGGATGGGAGTACGGAGCGTCGAGTAAGCTAATTAAGTAATCAAGGAGGGCCGGGGTGGGAAAAGCCAGGGCTGAAACGTGAGGAAGTTCAAGGACTATTTTTTTTTTTAGGGGTCCCAAAGCCCTATCAGGAATAGCTGGTTTTGAAGTGTAGACTCTAGGAGGGTGGGTCGGTCTCCAGGAGCATCTGGATGCTCTAACACCGCAATTCTCAAGTATCTTGGTAGATCCAGCTACTTGGAGCCATCCCTTTGAAGTGGGTCGGGGGAGGGGTGTTCACAAGTTAAGAGCTGCTTCCAGCTTCGGACTTCCGGTTTCCGGCGCCCATAAAAGGCAGCACACGGCCGGGCGGCGCCAGAGCGCATGCGCACTGAGGCTGGAGCTGCAGCAGCTGCTGGTGGCCCAGGGCGTCTGGGAGCCGTGATCGAGGTTGTGCGCAGCAACCGGCTGGGCAAGAGGGTCCGGGTGAAGTGCAACGCCCACGACTCCATCGGGGACCTGAAGAAGATGAAACGAGAGCTTCCTGAAGAAGTGGTGCACGTGTTCAAGGACCACATGACCCTGGGGGATTATGAAATCCAGGAGGGAATGAACCTGGAGCTCTGTTACCAATAGAGGGGGATGGCCGGTGCCTGCTTCTGTGTTGCTTTGGACCTTATTGAGAGGACTAACACACCCTCAAAAAGATTAAAGTTAATAGACCAAGACTTGTATCTGGCACAAGTCTAGACGGATTGGGTTTTTTTTTTAATTTCTACATCAGGAGTTAGGATAGGAAGAGGCCCCTACCTCTTATACCTTTAGAAGAGGTAGAGACGAGAGACTAGAGACGAGGGAGGAAGGGAGATGGCCGGCAAGAAGACCGTGCTGTCGTTGCTAGCTGTTTACTCGGATTCAGAGCCCGAGGCGGACCCGGAGGCTGAAGTGGAAGCCACAGGGAATGCGGCCTCCGTGGAGGAGCAAGGCGACTTGGTGTCTGAAGCCTCTGGAGATGGCAGTGTTCCTCGACTCGAGGGTGATCAAGATGCATACAAAGAAGGAGATGAGGAAAACGGCAGATGTCCCAAAGAGGAAGATTCAGAGACTGAAAAACCCGAGGCTGATGACCTCCAGGAGCTTTCAGAGCTGGAAGAGAGAGACCCGCAGGAGCTGCTTGCCACCTTCTCCAAGAAGGTCAGGACCATGTCTCCAGAGGAGATTCAGATCCCCCCAGAGCCTCCGGGCAAGTGCTCAAGTCACTTGCAGGACAAGATACAGAAACTCTATGAGTGGAAGATAAAGGAAGGGATGGATATGAACTACATTATCCAGAGGAAGAAGGAGTTTCAGAATCCCAGCATCTATGACAAACTTATCCAGTACTGTTCAATTGATGAACTTGGCACCAGTTATCCCAAGGATATATTTGACCCCCATGGGTGGGCTGAGGATTCCTACTATGAGGCACTAGGTAAAGCACAGAAGATTGAAATGGACACATTGGAAAAAGCCAAAAAGGGGAGGACGAAAATGGAGTTTGTGACAGGCACCGAGAGGGGCGCCACAACCAATGCCGCAGTCACTAGGACCGCCACAGCCAGCACCAAGGCTGTGGATGCTCAGAAGACAAAGAGCAAGTGGGATTCTGCTATCCCAGTGACTACAGTAGGCCAACCTCCCATCCTTACCACAACAACTTCCGTGCCAGCCATTGTCACAGTGACAACTAGTGCTAGTGGCTCTAAGGCCACAGTCATCTCAGCTGTAGGCACCATTGTGAAGAAAGCCAAGCAGTGGTAGAGGGGTAGACATACTTTGTTGAAGGACAGCTACCCCAGGACCTTGTCAAGACTATGAACACTAGCTGTGGAATGCCCCCCTTGGACGTGGCACTCACTGGACTAAGGCTTTCCAAAGAGCTTCCCATGCCTGAAAATCATTCTCCTGACCTAATGAGAGAATCTGTTGTCCAGTCATCCAGAAGGACCCTTGTTTGTAGTCAAACTAAGGGGTTGGATATAATACTAATAATAAAAATAGCAATAATAGCATTGTATGATGCTTTGAGGTTTGCAAAGCACTCTATAAATATTTCATTTTATCCTCTCAACATCTCTGGGAGGTGGGTACTATTGTTTTCTCCATTTTACAGATGGAGAATCTGAGGCAGGCAGGGTTAAGTGACTTGCCCAGGTTCAAACTAGTAAATGTATGAAGTAGGATTAAAACTCCATTCTATTTTAGATTTCTTTTCTCTAATTTCAAATACCTTTTTGTATATGTTTTATGCTCTTGTTCTGTTCTGTACTGTAGTTATTAAAGAATATTGCATATTTTCTGAATGTGTCATTTCTCCATTCTTTCCACTCACCCACCCTTCAAGTACGGGCTCTGTGAGGGCAAGGTTATGCCTTTATCTGTGTATCCTTCCTAGTCATTGGACTGTCATATGGACCTGAAGTGAGAGAGAATGCCCTGTAAGGAAACCCTTCCACCATTGCAGAGCAGGGCTTACTTCTGGTCTTAAAGGGAAAATGCTGACTTTGATGTAGGGCACCTGAGTTAGTCTGACCTGAGAGCTGTGTGACTTTGGGAAAGTCAGTCTTTGTAGGCCTCATTTTCCTCCTCAAAGGAATTGGACTATGTGGCCCCTGTGTTCCCTTCCAGCTCTCATTTTTTGCTCTTACGATCCTATTGGACGTCTCAAACTAGATGTCCCGTAGGTATCTGAAACTCCACATGTCCCAAACTGGACTCACTATCTTTCCCCACCTAAACTCTTCCTCCTCCAAAACTTCCCTATTATGTGAAGGATGCCCTCATTCTCCCAGATCTCCAGGCTCACAACGTAGATGCCATCCTCAATTCCTCACTCCGTCTCACCCATCCATGTCCAGTCTGTTGCCTACTCCTGTTGATTTTACCTTTGTGTCATGTCTCATCTATGCCCCCTTCTCTCCTCTGACCCTGCCCCTCATCACCTCACACCTGGTATAACAGCCTGTTGATGACAAATCTTTGCCCATTCCAATCCATCCTTTCCTCAGCTATCAAAGTGATTTTCCTAAATCATAGGTCTGACCATGTCACCCCTGTACTCAATAAATTCCTCTGGCTTCCTGTCACCAAAAGACAAGAGAAAGAAGAGGGAGAGGCATCAGACTGAGCTGAAAGGACCTCCAGTCTCTAGCCCCTGGTTTCCCCAGAGAAAAGATCCTACCTAGTTAAGAGTTTCTTTGCTTACCCACCAACCCTAGAGAAAAAAACAAAAAAAAAAGGAAACTCAGGAACCACAAGCTATAGGGAGTTCCTTAAAAGGAAAAGGTTTGCTCTGAAGAAGGTAGAAAGAAAATCACCTTTGGACACAGGCTCACATTCTCCCCTCTAGGCTGCCCTTCAGGGAGTCTGCCTAGCCTTGGGTTCCAAACCATGGGATCTCCTCTAGTTAATTTAGTAACAAACTGAAACACAGAGACCCTCACTGTGGCACCCCCTGGGCTATGAAGATATCATTCCCACGTTTGAGCAGGCAGGCAATGCAAGAAATCAAACTAAGAAGGAAGCTCAGCTGTAAGAGGGGCTTGACTCTAAAACTAAACTTGATATGGTTTCCCTAAAGGTTGTTGAGGATTCTTCAGCTGAACCCTGACCCTGGGAATCTTGCACTGGGTATTCTAATTGTCCTTTACATTCCTTTCTGCTACTAAGAATACAAAAATCTCAGCCTAGAAACACCAGCTTTTCCACCATCACCCTCCCACCTTCTCTCAAACTGTCGGAATGAACAATTCCCAGACTGCCCCTCTCCCTGGGCCTGCTTTTATTTCGAGGCTGCCCATCAATTCCCAATTGTCTCCAGCTTGACCACCCTTCCCCACCTCACCCCCAGCAATTCCCCATCCCCAGATTTTTTTTTTAAGTTTCACCTGGAACTAATCCAATCATTCTGGAGAGCAATTTGGAACTATGCCCAAAGGGCTATGAAAAATGTGCATACCCTTTGATCCAGCAGTAGCACTTCTAGGGCTATATCCCAAAGAGATCATAAAAATGGGAAAAGGACCCACATGTACAAAAATATTTATAACACCTCTTTTGGGGGGGGGGCAAGAATTGGAAATTGAGGGAATGCCCATCAATTGGGGAATGGTTGAACAAGTTGTGGTATATGAATATAGTGGAATATTATTGTGCTATAAGAAATGATGAGCAGGCAGACTTCAGAAAAAACCAGGAAAGACATATGAACTGATGCTGAATGAAGTGAGCAGAACCAGAACGCTGTACACAGTAACAGCCATGTTGTGTGATGACTGATTTTGATAGACTTAGCTCTTCTCGGCAATGCCAGGATCTAAAACAACTCCAAAAGACTCATGATGGAAAATGCTATCCACATCCAGAGAAAGAACTATGGAGTCTGAATGCAGATGAAAGTATACTATTTGCTCTCTCTTTTTTTTTTTGTGTTGTTTTGTTTCTTCTTTTTCATGGTTCTTCCCATTAGTTCTAATTTTTCTTTACAACACGAGTAATGTGAAAATATGTTTAATAAGAATGTCTATGTAGAGCCTATATCAGATTGCATGCTGTCTTGGGGAGGGGAAAGAGGGGGAGAAAATTTAAAACTCAAAAGCTTATGGAAGTGAATGTTGAAAACTAAAAATAAATAATTTAAAAACTAAAAAAAAAACCTAAAAAAGTTTCACCTGAGTTCCCAGAGCTCCAGCACAGAGAAATGGGTCTTTCGAGGCTTAGATTTATGTGGGTTTCAGCAGGTAGAAAAAAAGAGGCAGAGTTGGGTAGCTGTGGACTGCAGCTCAAACAGTGGAAAGCCCCAGTATGCACAAAAGTACTATTCTTGGCCACGGCATTTGGGATTCTCTGCCTCAAACTGTCCTAGAGCTTTGTGAGTCTCTCCTTTGTCCTCATCACATCTTCCTTTCTGTTTAACTTACCTGTATGCATGTCTTATCCTTCTCTCCTCTCCACCAGGAGACTATAAATTCCTTGAAGACAGGGACGATGTCATTTTTCAACTTTGTCCATGTCACGTCTCATACAATTTGGGAAATTCCTGATTTCATTGGTAAGGAGGGACTCTATCTGAGGAAACTCCTTCTGCCAAAGCTACTTAGCAGCTGCTTTGCTGTAGGTGATAGCCCTGAGTCAGGAAGAACACTTCAAATCCTAACTCTGATGCTTAGAAGCTGTGTAACAACAACAAAAATCCCTACAAATTGCTCATTTCCCTAGGCCTTGATCTCCTCCCTGTAAAATGGAATGGCTGCACTCAGTGGCCTCCATGGTTTCCTTCCAGTTCTAAATCTACAATCCCCATGCAATTGATAATCCTAAGGGGCTGAATTCCAGCTAAGGAGTTGGAATGTGGTAAGTGCTTAATAAAACCATTTTGACATTTTTAGTCCTCTGGCTGGAAATCCATGCTGTAGCCTCCCTTTCAACTCAGCTGTACCTTCTAATTTTTATCATATATGCAATTTTCCAAGATAGGTTGAACCAGAAATAATGTATACTTACAATAATAGAAATTTTACAGCTAGAAGAGACCTTAGAAACCACAGGAACAGAGATCTAGAAAATGCCTGAGTCCATGAAGTCCATTCTCCTTCTCC